GGCTGCCGGATTAACGAATGATCAGACAAGCAAAAAAATCAACAACTTTCGGATCAAAAACAAAATACAAAAAGAATCGGGAAAAATGAAACGCGAACCCTAGCTGTCACGGCAATAACAAAAAATTGCGACGTCTAGCCGAGCTGCAGCTGCTCGCTACATTTGCCATCCTGCAAGTACTACTACTGTGTCTCAAGGCGATCGATGCCCGCGACTTGTGTTTCTGACATTATTTTGTAAACAGTACGTACGATGGGAGCGGAACACATGCTCCGTAGTCAGAACAGCGGGAACCACTTGTCTCCCGTGCAAACAGTAGGACGTGGGGACGAAGTATGCATCCGACCGCGACGACGACCAGTATTCTTTTTTTTTCGCGCACCATCGCGCACCTTTTTCCGACTGGTCCGCCTGTGCGTCGGAGCTAGCTGCCAGCTACAGGACACCTACGGCGGCTCCGCCAGGAGCTCTCCCAGCGGCAGCTCTGCACCGTCGCCGGCATCGCAAGGCCGAATCGGCGGCTCCAGCAGGCTCTGGCGCGTGTGCGCGCAGGGCCGCGAGCGCTGCGAGTGCGGTCCAGCGGCGCGTGAGCGCGGCGATTGCTGCGGCCCGCGCCCACGGGACCACTGTTCTTGCCACGCGTACCAGTACTACCACCACTACAACTACAAGCACGAGTATGAATAACACAGCCACTAATGTTGTTGTTGCTGCTGCTGCCGCCAGTACTACTACGACTACTTCTGCCTATGCTGACAGGATGGTACCTGAAACGTTCTGGCACAGCTTGGAAAATAACGCGGGCGTTGGGGGCGACGCAGCCCCCCATTTGCAAACAGATTGCCGTTATGAGTATTGCAATGCCGCCGCTGCTGCTTCGGCGACCCTGTCCTTCGCCACGTCGCCACCGCGCTTGGGGCGGCGCTCCTTGCCTTTGCCCTTGTGAGTGCGCGGGCTGCGGCTGCGGCTGTCTCCGCGGCTTTTGCTCCGCTCGCGCCTGCTGGGCCCGTCCATAGCATGGCGCTCGTTGCTTGATGCCGGTAGCGTGGCCTCCATGAACCGCACGGTCGACAACACGCAGAAGGAGCGAGGTCAACGGGCGGTCGGCCGCTTCTGGCAAGCGTGAGCTGTGGACGAGCCCCTGCAGCCCTATCAGACCATCGCATGCCGGGTCCGCCTGGCGGCAACGGCACGTGCGGCACTCGGACATCGCTCTGGAAAGGCTGCGAGCTGGGTGGGCAAAAGTGGCTGCGGGGACGTGCTGCATCAAACCCCAAGGACTGCATGTAAACAACAAGGCAAGTGAAGCGACACATGCCATAGCTGGGCGTGCCCAGTCCCCCTGCGTGCTTGGTAGGTTTGGCTGCCGGATCAAAAAGAAAATAAAAAAGGATTACAAAAAGGATCAATAAAAAAAATATAAGGCGAACTCAGGCTGTTTCGGCAATAGCAAAGTACGCTACAAT